GAGAGAGAGAGAGAGAGAGAGAGAGAGAGAGAGAGAGAGAGAGAGAGGCTGAAACTCCTTGGAAACGAGAGTCACCTTCTTTCCTGTTGGTCCTGGGGAGGGAGGACTCTTGCAGCTATCCCCCAAAGACAGGTAGGAGACGACCAAGAAGTGCTCTGGGAGAAGGGACGGTTGAGCGGTTTCTGTGGACAGGACGGAGGCGATCTACTTAAGAGGTGGTGCGGATAAGAGGAAAGCAGAACTCGGTGGCCGGTAAAAGAGAAGCAGCAAAGCAAAGAACTAGGGGCCGACTGTCAGAGAGCGAGCCGGACGGGGAGAGCACAGAAACAAAGCTGTCATCGTGCGCTCACGGATGCGGGTCTTTCTGCAGGGACCGTCAGGAATGCGGTGGTCGCGGGGGAAAGCGAAGGGTCAGGCTTCCGCGCTGTCCTGGGCTGGATACTCATCTCCGCTCCATCTCTACCTCCTCCGCTCCGGTGTCTGGCAAAGCTTATGCTCCTCGGTAGCGGCGTGGCGGTGAGATACGTCCACCTTCACCCTCCGGGCACCTGGTGTGAGTGTGGGAAGAGGCTAGGGCACTCCTGATGGAAGCGCTGCGTCTCCTGCACTCGAACCAGGCGCTGCACTCCACGCCGCCGTCCGGTTACCCCGGCAACGGCCCGTGCGGATTCCCGGATGTAGTCACCCGGGCCGCAGCCCGGGGCGGAGCTGGGAGGACCCAGCCCCTGGGGAGACGCGCGCGCACCATCGAGACGTGGCGGTGCCCGGCTCGGCTTCTGGAGGGAGCGAGAGGAGAGAGGCGATCCTCGGCCCAAGACCCCGCACTTCCGGTCTTCTCACTTCCGGCTCCGAGGCTGCGGTGCAGGCGCCGGAGGCCGGAGTGAGAGGTCGCGGGTGCAAGAGTCCTCGGCAGGCGGTCGCCGAGAGCCTTTGACAGCTGCAGCCGAGGTGCGTGGGGGAAGGGACGGAGGACAAGCTCCGGGTCGTGCTTCCGCTCACGTCTGCTCCGGGCCGACCGGATTCCCGAGGGCTGCAACCGGGAGTGCCCGCGACCGAGCGCTGCCGGCTTCCCGGCTGCTGACAGACAGGTGAGGGCGGAGCCGCGGCGGGAAGGATGGGGTTGAGGTGGCGTCGCCTCCGGCTGCACGCTGCACACTCGCTCTGGGGCATTCCCACCCCCTGGGAGCCGTCAGGTCCGCCCCTGGGTCCCCCCTGTCCCGCTGACTGTGTCCTGGGGTGAAGGGGGCAGCACCGGCCCCTGGGGCGGCACCCGCTCCGCTCTGCAGGCTGTGGGTGGGAAGAGGTGGCAGAGTGGACTCTGTCCGAGTGGGCCGCCTTGCTGTCCCCCACTTCCTCTCTCCCGCTGCGGGAGGAAGGGAGGTAGCCACAGCCCCTCGGAGAGGTCGCCTGACCCTGGTGCAGACAGGCGTCCTGCCTGAAATGTCCCAAGCCCGAGTGCTGGCCAGGGCGCCCAAGGAATGCCGAAGTTTGGAGAAGGAAATTGTCGCCCTGCCTTCTGCTGCGTTCCTCATTGCCAAGTTACTACTCTTTACGTGACTCGGAAAGGAAGCTTTTTTTTTTTAAGTGTTTAGATTCTAGACTTTCTTCCTTTTTATTGCTTCCTTGGCTTTGTTCTTATCTTCCTCATGATCCCTCGGATCTGAAGAAGTTTGTACTTTACACTTCCTGCAGATCCTTTAAGCCACCCTCTCAGGATTTTGTTCGTCATTCCTTTATTTTTTCCTGAACTATACTTACTTGGTTCTTATCTGATCAGAAAAAAAATTAGGAATGAAAGAATTTCAGGGCATTTTATCAACACGTTGCTTTCACAATTGCGAGGGTGTGTTCACATTTGCCATTTAATTAACTTCGTTGACAAAGGAAGGTGCACCAGAGTGATGACGTTGGTTAGTTCTCTGGAGGCTGCAGGAATTGGCCATTTCGTTGTTGCTCTTTTACAGCAAGTACTACGACTATTGCACTTTCCTTCTGGCTGTTCTCCTTTCATTTGCTTTTACCTTTCGTTTTTCTTGTTCAGCAAGATCAATTCTGTCTCCTAACTACAAAGTCTAACACTTAGTGTGTAGAAAACAGCGTATTTCCATTTGTATTTTCTGAATGAAAGGCTCTGCCTGAATGAAAGGCTCTGAGCTATTTTATTTCCATTTTGATAAAATGTTACTTTTCTTGCATGATCCTTGCCTTCATCCTGGATTGGGGCCTCCAGGTACCAGTGATTGTCTATCCCCACCCCAAGAATTATGTTCAAAGTTTGTGTGTGTGTGTGTGTGTGTGTGTGTGTGTGTGTGTGTGTGTGTGTGTGTTCTGGGCAATTGCATTCTTTTATCGAATTCTTAAAAGACATTTATATCCCGCAAAATTTAAAAGCACTGGTTTAGTGTCTCGTTAAAGCTAATGGAACCAGTTATTCGTGGAACTGTTTTCCCAAATTGCAAACGGCTTTTAGGGGGGCGGGCGGGGGAAGTAGAGTAGAGTGCAGAGATTATGGTGCTGAACTGAAATCTCACTATGTCAAAACTGCCGTGTTTCTAAATTCCTTCCCGGACCTATAGAAGGAAGCAGGTTGGTTCCTGATTTGTGGTTTTGAGGTTTCTTTTTGGGGATAACTGGCTGTGCCCATTGCTTTGCTAATACAGAGAATTTATAAACTGATGTGTCCACCACTCTTTAATGCATCCTAAGTGTCACCAGCCCTCTGGGTGCAACTCAGAATACAGCATCGAAATGATAGCTGTCCTTTGCTTCCGACGCCTGTTTTAGCTGGAGATGTCTGTCTTGGGCATGGGCCTCCTGTAGGAAGGGCGGATAAGATGTATTCCATTTGGCTGTGGCAACGTTCCACACTCCTTTCTCTTCATTCTTTGTCATACATGTAAATTATTATTTCTTGTAAATGAGGATCTCTCCAAGCTTAATGTAAGTCTTGGGGTGCATATTTCCTTACTGATTTGATTGTGAAGAGTTTGGAAGTTGAAGTTGTGAAGTTTTGAAGCTCACTTCCTACAACGCTACCTACACAGCTCGTCATGAGTGGTCTAAAGGAAGCAATTTCTTCACTTCAAACAAAGCCCTGATTTTCCCTCAGTGTAGTGTCCTCACTTGGAGCAATCAATGCTAAGCTAGTTGCTTGTCGTTAAGATAAGGGTAGGTTTAAAAGATACATCCTGACTAGCACCACAATAGGAGGTACATTTATTTGCTTACGATGTACGTGATGCCTGGTGCTGTCAGGATCATCTCATCCTTTTAGCAACCTTATACGGTCATACCCCCCCACCATTTATAGATCAGCGGTTCTCAGTCTGTGGGTCACGACCCCTTCACAGGGGTCACCTAAGGCCATTGGAAAACACAGATGTTTGCATTAACATTCATAACAGCAACATTACAATTATGAGGCAGCAGTGAGTGTAATTTTTGTCGCCACAACACGAGAACTGTGAAAAGGTCGCAGCTTTGGGAAGGCTGAGAACCTGTGTTGTAGATGAAGATTGTGAAACTAAATGACCCACAGAGCTAAGAGAGTTTGCTTAGAATAATTCCGGTGGAGCCAGGATTTGCTCTTAGGTATTTAACTGTAGATAGTTCCTAGGATATTTCTACTATAAGATTTTTGGAACGAATTAAAGATACCTTATTTGATTATGTATTAGACATCAAAACAAAGATCCTATCCTCTATTACTCTTTAGTGGTTGAACACCTTGTCGAATGTCATATTGAAGGATATGACAGATAAGGGAATTTGAAGAAGGCCTGTAGATTGGTAACTGATAAGGTGATGGATACAGGTTTGCTGGATTGTATGTATTATGACCTGTAAGAATGGAAACTAACTTTGGCATTATGAGTTTGCGGCCATTCATTTCAGAATGACCGTTTGGGATAGAGGAAGGAGTAAATTCAGCAAAGTGCTGAAATTCATGTAGCCTAACTGTTGGTGGACACAGAACACCGAGTTACTCAGGCTGTGGAGCAGGATGAGGTTGGGTGGGCGGTGTTGACTGTCTGGAATCAGGTTGTGGCACTGCCATTTTGGGGTGTCTAAAAAAGGGGGGCTACTTGCTGAGCCGTCTCTCCAGCCTTATACTGTGTATGATAAGCAGTGAAATGAAAATTTCTTTACCCCCAGTATCTCAGCCCCACCCCCAGGTCTCAGGTCCACTCCCAACTAATTCAGCATGTAGCTGAGGACCTAATGGAATACCACAAAGCAGCTCCAAGCCTCTCCACTCTGACACCACACTCTCTACCCTTGCAGCTGTTTGTGTTGTGTGAAGTTAGATAAAATTCAGTGGCCACTGTGCCGGTGCCTGTCCTATTGGACAGCTCTGATTTAGAGCATTTTTTATTTTCCAGTCTGGCTAAAACTTGCAAGAGCTGTAATTTGTTACATAATTAGTATATTATGAACCAAGATAGGAAAAGTTTGCTGTCTCTGTGGTGTTTAGCAGGTTTTGTTTTAGCTGACAAAACAGTCATTTCCTCTCTTGGCTTTTTAACTGCATCCAGATGGTCAAAGTCTACGTCTAACGATCTTGCACGTTGGGATTACTATGCTGTTAGCTCCTTTTCTAGGATTACGCTGTCAGCTCTCCTAAGGGTGTCTGTGCTTTCTGTCTCCCTTGGGCTGTAGATCTGTACATCGCGCTATCTGATTGATACCCTTTCTGGAGACTTAAAGATGGCTCAAATCTGTTAGATCCAGAACTAGATGTGTTTCTCTTCTATCCTCTCCTACCTCCAAACATTGCTTCTCTTTTCTTCATTTCTGTTTTCAGTGAGTGGTGACCTTTCTATCCATATGAAACCTTGACAGTGTGGGGCAGTCCTACATCTTCTCCTTGATACGACGTCCGTGCCAACAAGTACTAACGTTTCTGGCAGTGGCTCTTGAGTGTTTCCCTGCCACCATGAACTGCTGTAGCTTGCACACTGTCCCTTTCCCTGGAACCTGTCTACAACCTTCATCTTTGTCCGCTTTGTGCTTATTTTTAATCCTTTATCCACTCCGAGAGCGTGGTTTATTATGAACATACCGATCGGCACCCTCTCCCTTTCCCCAGCTCTTTTGTGACCTTGCGTTGCTTTTAGAGTAAAAAGAAAATTCCTTAACAGTGATAATTCTTCAGCCTTATCTTGAATCATGGTCTAAAACATTCTGGTCTGCCAAGCTGGCTTCCTTTGGGTCTTAAAAAAAACCCTAGGTCACTTTATTTCTTTATTTTTATTTGTGTGTGTATGTGTGTGTGTGTGTGTGTGTGTGTGTGTGTGTGTACGCGCGCGCCTGTTTGCACATGTGCCACAGCTGGTCTCCTGCACGCATAGCAAGTGCTCTGAACCAGTAAGTCACCTTTCTAGCTCCCGATTTATTTATTAGTAGTTCATATATTTATTGTGTTTATGTGTATGTTACGTAGGTGCACTGGACCCTACAGCTAAGTTACTCTAAGTTGCCACTGTTAAAGATTTCAGTTTATGGGTTGTTTTTTTTTTCAGATTTTGAATTTGAGTTGTTCTACATATTGTAGTTAAAATGGTGAAACTTAAATAAATTGTAAACTAAATTGCTGATTTTTTAAATACACGTAAATGAAACACTAATAGTTTTATAAATAAACTTTTATAAAATAGTCTAATGTTTTTAGATTGTTTGTAATAAACTCTTGGCTAGACTTTCAGAATTCCTAAAGAGATAGTATAGAGCTTTCCCTGGGTATTGAATTAGTGTGACACACTTTCTCACAATGTGTCAGTTTTTCCTGGTGTCTTTTTTCTGTCCAGGATCCCATCCGGCCATTGATTGTTCCTGGCACAGACAGTTTCTCAGACTCCCTCGCTTTCAATGAGCTGATAGTTTTTCAGATTGCTGTTTCAGGGTACCGTGTGGGGATTTATCTGGTGTTTTTCTCATGGTTAGCATGGGGAGAACCACAGAGTGACAGCGTCATTCCTGATTGATTGTCACTGTGACTGCGCCGTTGCTGCTCTCCTTCATGACGGTCTCACCTTGTCAGGTTTGTTCACTGCGGACTTGCTCTTTCGAAGCCCTTCCCTTTGAACAG